GGGCAGCGCAGCTGCAGCTGAAAAGCTGAGAATCTGCAGCTGCGCCAAACAGACCCTTAAACTATAAACTATAGTATATGTTTAAACATTCTTTTTCAATGAGGGTTCAAATCTAAATTCAAATAAGAGTTGATAACTTTTTTTAGAATATCGTCCACATCATGTTCAAACATTGTTTAATGTTTTTCATACTATTTTTGTTATCAATGCTGATTGTTATTTTAAGGAAATACTTTAAATTGACCATACTTTTCGACTAAAATTTTTCTTTAACTTATATCTAATCTCATCTGGACGTAGGATGTAATCAGATAGAGAAAATATTACGTCCAGATGACTTACGTGCAAATGACGATGTGGATCACACGGCTACCGAACGCATGACGTGATGCGATCCACATTATCATCCACACCTCCGTTAATTGGACGTAATATTTTATTTGACTAAATAACTGAATTGAACTCGAATAAGCTATAATTTAACTCGAACACTACTTGAGGCTAACTCTAATTTAACCTAAAATTAATATCTAAAATTTATCAATTATTTATAAAATTTAAATTAAGTACTTATTATTGTATTATTATTGCATAAAATCACCCTTTACAAGAAAAAAATGAGGCCATCAACTCTCCCTCAAGAAGAAAAAGAGCTTCTTGCAAAAAGAAAAAAAAAAGAAAGGAATTGACCATTATCTATTTATTTAAAAAAAAACACTTTTTTTTATATTGCACACTGTCCAAAGACATAATAAGAGGATCAAAAAACTAAATATCCACTTAAGATACTATTAGGAGCAATCTCATCCAATTAGGAGAACAAAAATTCATAAGGCTATGTACATGACACCTCTAGTTTCACAACAAGTAATCAATTTGCTTACTTTTATACTTTTTATGTTATTTCTTCAGCGAGCCTACTCACGACCTAACCAGTTGAGTCGGATATAGCTGGATCTCGGCTTGTTTGCTTACTGAGCTCAGCTCACAAGTCAATTATCGAGTTGAGCCCGGGCCGACTGGACTAAGTTAGATCAAGGTTGATGTAAATATAAAGAGCAAAATTTTGGTATTAGATACGTAAATACACACAAAATTTGTATGGTATGTACGTAAATGCCCCTTTTTATTAAAAATAAAATGATTACTAGCAAAATAAAAATAATTATTGAATACTTCGATCTTAATAACATAAAATAAGTATAGGATTGAGATATGTAAATACAAACGAATAGGGTGCTATGAATATAAATTATCCAAATTAAATCCCCTCACTTTTAACTTTTAAGTCATCCATAGTTTAAAAAGAAAACGAAAGTCCATGTACATAATTTTCCAAACAAAAATAGCCTAACGCGGCCATACACGTCAAGGTCAACTTGCCGTCTTGGGGACCAACTTGTCTACGGCGGAGACCCGGCCTAAAATCACGCGCCCATGGAGAGGAAACCTTCACCCAAGGTCTAAAATATAGTACCCTTCTTAAAACAAGTATTTTAAATAAAATGGCTATAAAAATAAATTTTTTTCTTTTTTTCTGAGATATTTGAAAGAATTTAATCCTAAATACACACACAATGCGTGTATAAAAATTTAAACATAGGATTATTTGGTTTTAATCTCTCTCTCTCTCTTCTCCCTCTCTATGTTCATTGTTAGGTATGACCATATGAGGGACAGATGGTGGAGCGAAACGGAGCAAGCCAGCGGAGCGGAGCGGAACTGAGCAAGCCAGTCGGGGGAGTTTCGTTGCGTGGGTTGGGGGTGCGGGGGTAACACCCCACAGTACAATATGTAGGTAATTTTGTAATTACACGTTGTACTCTAAGATTATATATATATATATATGTCATGTTTGTAACCCGAAGAACATATTTTGTATTATGTACTCTTTTCTTAATTAAAGGAAAGCTGCCGCTCTTCTCCCGGGACGTAGACATCGTTGTTGAACCTCGTTAAATCCGTGTGTTTTCTTCTGGATTTATGTCGATTTCTGTTTTTATTCGCCCTAATTTCTCAACAGTTATATATATAATTTTTGATAAATCTAAAATGACTACTGCTTAATATTTAGATGCATGTATTTTCTTCATATTTTAGTTATTAATATAACGAAATCATATATTTTAATTTAAATAGATAATTAAAATCTTTGTGATAAATTGTTTAAAATAATTATTAAATGATTATTTAATTAAAAATGAATAAGTATTTTAATTTAAGTGAGGCAAAGTTTTAATATATTATATAATAATAAAGAGTTTATTAAGGGGCAATTGTTCTGGCAGGCCTCCTTTTGTTCCACCATTGTGTAATAGGCATGCAAATGTCCCGAATTTGTCTATATTATTGAACTTTTATATGAAAATAAAATCAAAATTTAAATTATTAAGTTATATAATTTGTGCAGATACGTATAAAAAACTTGTTTTAAATTTTGAACTTATTTAAGAAATGTAGTATTATTCTTAAAAAATTAATTTTTGTTAGACTTTTTTTTTTAGGAAAATTGAGGGCCACACCTAGCTTTATTGAAATTAAAATAGTAAGTTACAACAATATAACTCAAATTATAACTCACACAAAAAATAAAAAAGAAACAATAATATGAGGCTCCACAACCAACCATACTATATAAGAAAAAAACACTAAATCTAATCAGCTTGCATCAACAATAGCAACATTACAGTATTAATAACATCAATAATAGCCTTAAGAACTTAAAATCTAAAAGCCACTAGTAAAATCATAGTCTCCAACAACACCCTCACAACAACAACACCAGAAACAACAAACTTAAAGGAAGAAAGACATACATAGATATACCATCCTGCAAAATGAAAAAGAAAAAAAAAAAACAAAACAAAACCAAAGAGAACAAAAAGAAGCAACTAATAGAAACACACGAAAACAAATAAAAGAAGAAACAAACAAGATAATTGAGACAAATGAGCTCAAAATTATGCGTGCAAGAATATTAAATTTCCTTCCAGGAGCTAATGAATCAAAATATTGAAAAGAATACTTGAAATTTAATATATTGTTAGAATTCATCATAGCTCAACCAGATTGAACTTTAGAGAAAAAAAAATCAAATATAAATTTGATCTAAATCAGCAGAAATAATGAAATTAAAAGCCATCAGCCATTACCAAAGGCTCCTCCAAACCAACAACAATAAATAACATTAACCATCCCAATCAACCGGCAGCAAGACAAAGAAAAAAAAAATAGAGGAACCAATACCACCAACAACATAGAGGGTCCAAAAGGCACCTCAAACCAACAACCATAAGAAAAAAGAAAACCACTAAAAGCTCTTCCAATCCAGCCAACACAACCAACTATAATTAATTACAAATAAAGGAAACAAATGGAAAATAAAACCAAAGAATCCAATACCACCAACAACATCAATGCCTCCAAGTACCAATGGAACTAAAAGACATCTGAAATCCATCAATGCCTCCAAAAAATTAAGTCTAATATTGATTCCCCTATAATTGAGAATATCATTGGTTTTAAGATAAAAATATAAAATTCTAGAAGAAAATAAAGCCAAACTAAAAGAATATCCTTTGTACCAAACTAATCTATTCTAATCTCTAATGAGTAAAGTTTCATAAATAAAATGGTAAATATTTTTATTTCTATAGAAATTCTTCCATTTCCAAAGACAACTAAACCATCATCAATAATAGAGATTCCATTAATAAGAAGTAAACAATCAATAGAATTATTCTAGTCACATAGAAAAAAACCAATTGCCATTAATAAAAACATCTTTAATATTGATAAATTTAGGTAAACAAAACCAATCAAAAACCACATTACCATACATATAAATAAAGTTGATTCTTTAATCCAAGGATCAAAGAAAAAAAAGAAGAAGATTGCTGCTGGTATTGACTTGAAACTAAGATAACTTCTAATTTTAAAAACAACTTTAATAAGATCTTTCCAAATAATAGAGATTTTGAGAATGGAATTAACCCGGATGGTACCATAATAATCCATACTTCATTAGGTTAGTTTTGCACATCAAATTAATATTATCTAAAGAAGAAATGTCAAGAACTCCAAGGGCTTTAGGGGGAGAAATAAATTTTCAAAAAATAGAACTCATTTCATTCTCTTTATTATTATGAAGAGGGAAATTACCTATCAAGTAAGTATTTTTCTTTCTATAAGGTTTCTTTTTTTTTAATAAAGAAATAAATAGAAAATCTTGGTTTAGTCATCCAAAGAAAACAAAATAAAAATCGCCCCCAATACATTATTGTCCGGCGCCGGAGGCAATATTTTTTTCCGAACTTGTAGGCAGGCCATGACCCGGTCATTGTTTACATCGCCTACTGCTTCAAATCTTCCCCGTGATCTTCATAAATATCAGCTCCTCTCGATCTCTGCTCAGAGAGAGAGATAGAGAGATGGCGAAGACGGGGAAGGGGGTATTAGAAGTGAAGCTCTTCGATGCCAGGGGACTGAAAGACACCGATTTCTTTGGTGAGTGTAGATTTCTCCAACTTATATTCATTTTTTGAGGAAACCCTAACCTTTTATCGCCAAACTATGAGTGTTAGTTGTGATTTCTCTTTTAATTTTCCTAAATTTCAGTAAAAATTTACCTAATTTTGTCATCAATGGATGCAGGGAAAATTGATCCTTATGTGGTGTTGCAGTATAGGAATCAGGAACGGAAGAGTAGCGTCGCTCGAGGTTTTTGCTCAGACACTTCTGCATCATCGTTTAGCTAGCTCATTTGATTTTGTTTTCTAGTATTTTTTTTTTCTTTTCTCAGGGGGTTCTTTGATTTGTTTGAAGTACAAGCAATGGAAACTGAATCTGTATGAATTAAATATGATCAAAGTGATTATCTCTACTACACAGTAATTTGTTAAGGAGCGAGAAATTTGAAGCTTATTGACTTTTCTTGAAACCCATCAACTTGATTGCATTTCTACCTTTGTCGCCAACTCTGAAATCTCTGTAGGAGCAATTAGAGATTTTTTGGCACTAATAGACTGTAGGCCGAAAATTAAGTAAATCAGCGTGATTAAACACTATAAAGAGTTAAAGTAGGTAGAAAAATGGTTGTTTAGGTTGTGACAAATTCATCTATTACAATTTGTCTAATTTGATTTATGATTAACAAAATAATTGCTGATCATTCAGAGGAAATCATCTTGTAATTCATTAATATATTATAATAATAGTTTGCTCCACAGATGGGGAATGGTTGCTAAGCTTTGAATACTGAATCTCTCTACAGAAAACTGCCACCTTACTATATGTTTAGTTTATTAATTACATAGGGGATATTCTTTTGATAAGAATTTAATATAGAAGTAAGTTTTTTGCATTTGCAATAATTCTCTTGTGTTTGATTTTAAGAAGCTTTATGCCTACTATACTTATAAATTTCATCAGAATAAGTGATATTACTGCACCAGAAAAAAATACTAAGCTGTGAAAATAAAACAAAGCAAGTGCAAAATGGCATAAAATATAAAGCTTACAAAAAATTATATAAACAAAAAGTTTAAAATTTAAACATATAGAGGAAAATCCAATATCCACCAGCATGAAAATATTTGAGGTTTTTTTAAGTGGGATAATGGATTATCACATTAAATACCCACTCATTTAATATTGCAAAAGAAACCAATGAGCATGTAATGCTCAGTGGTAAAGCTTAAAAAAAAGGACAAAAATTTAAAGGCTTGAAAATGTAAATCTATAAAGCAACAAATAATAGCACCGTGGGCTCCTTTAAGTTTTAACTATCGTTATAAAAGGAAAAATAAAAACTAATATTTAAAGGGCTGCATTTCTATGTAAAGCAAGTAAGCAGAATGATCAAAACTAGAGAATATATGATAAAAAATACGAGCCTATACAATTATATCTTAGGACAAATAACGAGTATATTAATTTGAAATATAAAGCTAGTGTATTATACTTCTTGCACAAAATATCTTAATAATTCATGTCCAAAAATGTTTGTAAGGATAGTTTTCAAATTTTATGAGGGGATTCTATTAGGGGAGGAACCTAAGGTTTGGTTTTTCTTATGCATTATTTTGTGGTTGTTGTGTTTTTCTTCTTTTGATGTTGTTCCTAGCGACGTCTAGGGCATGGGAGAGCTGATATACCTCTTGAAAGTAAATCTTCTTTGTATTTTACTTGTTTTTTTTCCTTGATTGCTGTAAGAGCAGCCCTTATTTGTGTTTTTCACCAATCTATTGTGATTTCGTTGTGGTTTGTTTGCTGGTTTTGGTGCTGAAACTTATCATAAAACACCTAAAGTACAAGACAAGTAAGCCTCACTGTACCATGCAAATTCAAGGTAAGCCCATGTTAAGAGATTGGTATTTGCTAATTTCATAAGTTATACAAATGGAATCCAACCAAGTATGTCCAATTTTCTTATCTAAATTGTCAGTACAAAAATTTATTCTCCTCTGTAAGGTGATATTAATAACTAAACAATGACCTTGCTTGTGCTGAGAAAAAAATTTACAGCTCCCTCTCCGGATGCCCTATTATCTCTCTAAAATATAGAGCCTTAAATGCCAGAAGAAATATACCTAACCTGGTAAATTAAGTGAATATCCAATATTATATTCATTATGGTTCTATCTTTCCACACTTATCTGAAAATTGAAAATGATTCCTCAAAAAAAAAGGGCTTTACTTGATTATTGCTCATACAAGCTTATATTTGTTTGCACAGCAGGACAAGGCAGTAACCCTAAATGGAATGAGACATTCACGTTCTCAGTGCAGTATCCAGGCGCAGCAGGTATCCCTCACAAGATCATCCTCAAAGTAATGGACAAGGACACCTTCTCTGCTGATGATTTCCTCGGTGAAGCAACGTAATTACCAAAAATCCCTTCTTTTGATAATATTATGCCAATTGCACTGCCAAATTAACTAAAATTATTATATTCTTACACAAGTGGATGAGGCTTTTCATCATTTTATTACCTGTGCTTATGAATGCTATAGAAGATGCGCCAGATAAGAGTTTGTAAAAGCTTATTTTTCATGCAAATTAAAACAACTTTTTGTAAGCAATATAAAGTTTTATAAATATTAAAGCCTAAAGCTTTGTTTGGTTCAGAGAAATTGCAAGAAGAGAGATGAAACGGAAATAATAATGAAAATGATAACGAATTGTACTGAAATTTGTTTCTCGCTTTTCATTTGGCTGTGTAGAAATTGCGGTAAAAAGTCTTTTTCACTTCTCATCTGATTTAGAAGAAACTGATCTGTTATTTCTAGTGAGGAGAGGACTGTGAGTTATTGAGATGATTTGACAATTTTTTTTTTTTTCACTAGAGTTATTGAGATGATTTGACAATTTTTTTTTTTTTCACTAGGGTTTTACAGGCAATTGTAAATTGAAATATTGATAATTTTATATTTTTATGATTCCCATTCCTAATCAATTACATTGCTACTAAATTAAATAGAACATAAGAACCCAGATTTTAATATTTCTTTAGATTGTGATTCATAAACATCTTTTAATGCAGTATTCATGTAGAGGACTTGATTTTACTTGGCTTTGAGAAGGGAGTTGGAGAGTTGCATCCTTCTAAATTCAATGTTGTTCTTAATGACCAAAGTTACAGTGGTGAGATTCGTGTGGGGCTCACTTTTACCCCCAAGGTATGAAGAGTTCTTCTAAAATTTACTAGCGGTTTGTCAAGGCTTTTAACAATTGATCTCGATTCTGTCTAACCCCGACTTAAGATCGGCTCAAAATCATTTGGTCCGATCTCAAGCTGAGTCAAGTATGCTTAGTTTGGCTTCGTTCTCTCTTGACGCATCTCTGCCATGGTTCATCATATGCAATTTGAACCACAAAATTCATTCAAACTTGATTGATTTTTGCTCTTCTAAAACATTTTTTTTTTCCCAACATGCATATTAACTCGAACGTATTAATAGATTTATCCATTTAATTGCATAGATGTATATATAAATTAAGAGTAAAATGTTAAAATAGTCCTGAACTCTTTGCAGGGGCCATTATAGTCTTAGAGTCTTTAAAAGTGTCCATTTCATCCTCAGACTCTTCTAATATAAGTTGAAATAGTCTCTTGGGTAAATTATTTCAGCCCCCATTAAAAGAGTTTGGGACCAATTTGACACAATAAATCATGAGACTAAAGTAACTCCATTTAAATAGTCAGGAGATTATTTTGTCACTATAAATTAATGAAAATCTAAATGTTTTCATATATTTGTGTAAATATATTCAATAACGTGCTAACTTGATTTTATTTTAGTTTGACTCATTCAAATTCGAGCTAAGTTTGACTTGGCTTCTTATTCAGCTCATGCAATTCAATCCGACCAAAAAGCTAGTTCAATTTGCTTGAAAACTTCAATCTTTGAATTAAATTCAGTCTTTTTTTTTTTTTTTTGATTGGATGGGATTTTATTTTAAAGAAAAAATGTTTGCATGGTTGTTATTTTTTTTTTCTACTTGCTTTGAAGCATAGTTAGTAAAATGAAGTTATTTTACTTGCTAGTCATCTCCTTAAAAATGAGGTTAAAAATAATTGGGTATATTTGCTTGAGATATTTAGTTTTGTGCATTTCAGGTGCAAGAAAAAATCAAACATTTGATGTATATTTATTCTTTATATAGATCGGCACTTATAAATTCGTCTTGGTTCTTATTTTGCTTTTAACAGGTAGAAGCAGAAGTGGAGGGGGAGGAGCTTGGTGGCTGGAGAGACAGCTTTCATCATCACTGAAAACTTACCTTGTAGTTTCATATTGTATGTTGTTCTCTGGTGGCTACTTCATGCATCACATTTGCTATTCCAGTTTTCTTAGCTTCCAAGCTTGGACATTTGCAAACTTTTGTATTACACCCTTATAGTCAATTTACTCTTATTCTTAGTTTCCATATCATTTTTGTCACATTCTCTTTGATATTTTGATCATAAGCAAAAACCTAATAATCATCTCTTGATTTCTCATTAGAGCACAAAGTATGAAGGATGGCAAAACAGCTAAGTAATTTGTGAATACAATATATTATCTCTTATTATTTTGTTATATTAGCCACTCTTCCAACGTAAAAAATCAGTAATTGAAACTTCCTTGATATAAATCAGCATAATCTAATAGAGTTGAGGTAAAAAAATATTCACTAAAATTATTGAGAACTGCGTATAGCTTTAATTCAATGCTAAAAATCATATATAACTATATATCTATGGCAAACTATACATCTAAATAAAAGCCCAAAACTACAGTCATCCAACAAGTTTTAACATTAATGCAATTTTTTTTTTTATTTTAAATAGAATTGGTCCTATTTTTTTTTTTTTTAAAAAAAATCATTTAAGAAATTTTAATGCTGGAAAAAAAAAAAAATAGAAGACAAGGGACTGATAGACGCAGATTTGTAAGAGATAACTTGCCCATGATTTTCTAACATGATGCAAAGCTGAAGGAAATAGACATCGCGTCTTACGGCCTTCAGGAGAATGTTGAAAGTCCGCAAGTAGAAAAAAAGCTGGGTGGAATGCAAGCAAATCAAATCCACTAGCACTTTGCGTTTTACTAAAAGGATGGGTTGCAGGAGGAGGTGGTGCTTGACAGAATTCTCCAAGTGGAAGTGCAGAGAGGTGATTACCTGAACAGTTGGCTCTGGAAATTGTGGAATATAATCGGAGATGAATGGATTGTAGTGGTGGTAAGGGGGGAGGTGTGGGTGGGGATGGGAATGTAGCAGATGAACTTGCAGGTGGAGGGAGGGGAGGAGGTTGGGAACTTGGGTGTGGGACATGAGTGTGAAGGAAGTTTGTCTTTCACATGCATATGAGGTTGATGTGGTGACAAAGGAGTTTCTTTGAGAAGACAACCATAATTAGAAGATTGAGAAAAAAAGATAAGTTGGTGCATAGGAAAGTGTAGGAGGAGTTTCCCTCGCACTTGGATGTGGCATGGGTGGATATTGGAGAGGGTTGGGGTGTTGGGGATGATGGTAGCATGACTAAAGGATGTGGTGGTGGCAGCTGCTGCAATGGTGGAAGTAGCATGACTAAAGGATGTGGTGGTGGAGATGACGGAGGTGGGGACTCATTGCTTTTGGTTGGAGCAATATAATGGAAAGATGAAGGGGTGGCGTTTGGAGGGGGAGAATGCATTATCCTGATAGATCTCCGCAATATAATGGAAAGATGAAGGGGTGGCGTTTGGAGAGGGAGAATGCATTATCCTGATAGATCTTCGGAGCTGGGCCCACATCTCTGAAGCTGAGCCCACGGAGAGCTGGGCCCACATCTCCGAAGCTGAGCCCACGGAGAAGTTCAAAGTTCCATCTTTGGAACCCTATAAAGGTCAGAGCAATCCTACTGACTACATATCTTCTTTTGAGTTGGACATCTGCCTACTCAAAATTTCCAACACATTAAAGTGTCGATTATTCTATGCCATGCTGATGAATTTAGGCCTCAGGTGGTTTAATGGTCTCCCAACATGAGATATCATCTCCTTAAGTGAATTTAAGAAGTTGTTCATGGCGCGGTTTGTTAGCTCCCAAAAGCCCTAAAAGCACTCACAAGTCATGTGGCATGTCAAGTAATGACAGAACGAGAGCCTTCGAACGTATGTCACTCAGTTCCAAAAAATAAATGCATGAAATGTAAAATTTGGAGCCCACAATAGCACAGGCCTCCCTATCAGAGGAGCTAAGGATAAAAAAACTAAAGTATTTTCTTGGTTTACGACAAAAAATAGCGTAGCAGAACTCTTAGAGTTAGCTAACCATCATATCATAGCAGAGGAGTATGTTCACCAGTCCTGCCAAAAAGGTGAACAATCAGACTATCGCTTGTAGAGGAGAACCTCATGAAATGATTTGTGGAAGTCGAAGCATGGTTCACGACCAAACATGAAGAAAGTTGGTCTTCTTATGATGATAGAGAGACTGAAAAAAACTATCAAAGAGGACAATGCAGGACGAACAACTGATTGTCAAGGGACCAAAAACCACTAAAACTCACTCGGTTAAGGATTTCAATGGTTGAGTTGGTGGAGGCCATACAAGATAAGGAATACTTAAAAAAGGCTCCAACAATGAGAACCAGAGCTTTTATACATAACCTGAACAAGTTCTGCAAATACCTTAAGTACCATGGTCTTGACGCAGTGTAGTGTAGACACATTCGGAGCTTGGTCGAAGAAATGATCCGGACCAAAAATTCCAAAGAGTTTGTAGCCCTAGGGCTTTACCCAAAGGCAGGTGAAAGCCCCAAAATAAGAAGACTCAGATGAACCCATTTGATCCAACACTATCCACGTCACGGGATTGTACCGACCAACTAGGAGGAGATTTGGTCTAGAGAGTCAATCATAAGAGACTCCGAAAGGCAGAAAATTGCACCACTACTTTTGCTCCGAAGCAGAAGCCACATCCTCTAATTATTTTTACTAATGTAGATTTGCCCCCAAAAAGGAATTCTCACAATGACACCGTAATGGTCACAGTGATGATTAAAAACTACTAGGTGAGTAGTATTTTGGTTGACACTGACAATTTAAGTAACATCTTGTTCAAGTCAAACTTTATTAAAATGCACTTATCAGTTGACCAATTGATGCACTGACCGAAATGAGGCCCTGAGAATCATTGGGCTATCAATCACCTTAGGGGAAGGTGATAACTAATTCAATACATGGAATACTTCTTAGTGGTTGACACACTGCCTGCATATAATGTGATCTTCAGTCACCCACTGCTCAACTGCTTCTGAGTTGTGGTCTCCACTTACTACATCACGGTAAAGTTTTCATGTGATGGGGAGATTTTTACCATTGGGGGAAATTTGGAGCAGACTCATACATGGTACTCCGAACGGTCGCCAACATGGAACAAGAGTTATTTGACATTGAAAACCAGTGAAAGGGGGATCTCGAGACTGACAAAACTACAACCTATATTCCCACTCGCCATAATGAACTCGGTAATTTTTTGCTAATCGATGAGAATTATTATACAGTGTATTAGAGACTTGTTGATTGTGGACTTAACTAACATGAGACCAAATGGTAAATAGAGAATGGGTGCAGACATCACTAACATGAACTCAGCCTGCTCGAAAGAAAGTTATCCTCTTCCGAGGATTGATGCTCTGGTAGATTCAAAAGTTAGTCATTCAATAATGGGCTTTCTGGATGATTTTTTTGGCCACCATCAAATCAAAATGCATCCTACTGAGATAGAGAATATCACATTCATTACAAGCAAAAGTTTTTATTTTTATAATGAAATACTTCTTGGGCTAAATAATATTGAGGCTACCTACCAACATTTAATGGATGTAATGTTTTTTGAATAAAAAAAGAAAACTATTGAAATCTATGTTGATTATGTCCTAGTTAAAAGTTGGTCGGTTGAACAATATATAAATTATCATAAAGTATAACATGAAACTCGATCCACTATAATGTATGTTTGGAGCTTCGACCGATAGTTTCTTTGGATACCTCTTGACGCCGGAAGGTGAAAGGTTCGAGCTTAAGATATGAACAATTACAAACTCAAAATTCATTTATTCCTTGGTGGTCATACATAGTCTTACACGGAATAAAATGAGCTTCTTTTCATTTACCCATTTTTTGTACAAGACAAATTTTTGAAACATATTAGCGTTATAATTATGTAAATTGAAATGTCATACTTTTTATTTTCTTTTAAAACAACATCTACATGACACCAAATTTGTGGGTTCCGTTTATTCGTTTCAAAAAGAAATTATGTTCACAGGAATTTAGACTTTAGAATGAAATTGTGAGCATGTCGATTAAAAGTTTCTACCATTAGCTCAAGCTTATAATAGTCTTTAAATTGCAATTCATGTTATTACTCTGGCCCTCTTTTAATTATTTCTTTTAAGGAGTTATTGCTAAAACTATAAATAACCCTCTTCTATTTTGTACAAAACATTTTTCACTTATAATATCTTATTTGATATAGTGAATTCTTCTCTTATGCTTGTGATTTTTGTCCATTTTGAGTTTTCCACGTAAATTTATATGTTTTTTCTTTTGTTTGTTTTATTATTTATTGCATCAATAAATATCAAGTTATAATAAGTGATATCAGAGCAAATTTTGATTTAGATAAAGACAACAATAAAGTGCGACATCCATCTTTTAGATCGCAACACCATCTTTTCTTTGTGAAGGTTAAGATGTTAGCAATCTCAGTACAAGTGGATCTAAACAATGTGCTAGAAGGGCTTGAAAAGATACCCTCGTCATGGATGCTGGAGGAAAAGCAACATAATGATGAAAATGTTCTTTCTCAAATTTATCTTCATCTATAAAATCAGATTATACAGAATGTTTTTAAGGAGAAGACCACTACTACATTATGACTCCAACAAGAGCAACTGTGCATGGCAAAAATTCTGACCAGTAAGTGTAGACCTCACTTTCGATCAACCCTTCATTCACACTTAAAATAAACTCAAATCAATTTCAAATTCAAAAACCTATTCAAATTGAGTTAAGAACATCAAAATCGATTAATTCTATGTTCATTTGAGCTTTCATCAAAATCTTCAGACCCACACTTTGAACTCAACTGCCTCACATTAGCTAAAGTCGACCTTGCCTTTGAAATCCTCGAGTTTTCTTCTACCATGATAGGTCAAGGTTCTCATTTTGGTCTGGATCACATGCTCGCGGGCCCTACGCCTACGCCCGTGCACTCCTACACGTGGAAGCATGCCTGAAAGTTGTCAGACATGGCCACATTGGAAATTTATTAGATGTATTCTCTCTGATATTCAAACAATGCTCAATTCAAGTTTTACTTGGTATTATGGCTAAGAGTGACCTTGAGCTAGAGCAGTTAGGCGTAAAGACAACATTTTGGCATGGAGTGTTCGAAGAAAACATCTATATGTAGTAGTATGAGGATTTCATAGTTAAAGAAAAAGAAGTTTGTGTTAAAAAGATTTTTTTTTTTTTTTTTTTTTTTTTTTGTTTGTTGAAGAAATCTCTTTACAAATTGAAACAATCTTCTAGGCACTCATTTAAGAGATTTGAGTTGTTCATGATTGCTCATAAGTTTAAGAGAAGTAGTCATGATATTTGTGTTTACTTTAAGTCAAATCATTCATTTTCTTGCTCTTTTGTGTTGATGATATATTGATAGCTACTAAGAATACAGAAGATATCAAGACAGTAAAAACTAAACTTATCAGTAAGTTTGAGATGAAAGATTTGGGGGATGCAAAGAAAATACTTGGCATGGAGATTTAGAGAAATATAATTACAGGTAAATTATTTCTAAGTCAAAAAAGGTAGATTAAAAAGTTTTGTATAGATTTAATATGCATAATACTATGGTTGTTAGCACTCCATTTGCTACACATTTCAAACTTTCATTGCTTTGTATTAACAATCTAATTATTAGATTGAATATATGTCTCGAGTTCCATATTCCAACATATTGGGATCTCTCATGTATGCTAATGTATGTTCTCGTCAATATTTGTCATATATTATTAGTGCAATTAGTGGATATATGAGTAATCCAAGTAAAGAATATTAGAAAATGGTTCAGTGGATCCTCGGGTAACTATGTGAAATAAAAAATGTTGGTTTGTAGTGTGGAAGGATTAAAAATAGAGTCATTGGCTATGTTGATTCAAATTTTGCTAGAGATCTTGATAGAGAAAGATTGAATATATGTCTCGAGTTCCATATTCCAACATATTGGGATCTCTCATGTATGCTAATGTATGTTCTCGTCAAGATTTGTCATATATTATTAGTGCAATTAGTGGATATATGAGTAATCCAAGTAAAGAATATTAGAAAATGGTTCAGTGGATCCTCGGGTAACTATGTGAAATAAAAATATTTTTCAAAGATGAATATTTTAACGATCGACAGTGGTTATGTTGATTCAAATTTTGCTAGAGATCTTGATAGAGAAAGATCACTTGCATGATACATGTTTACTATTGTTGGCTATGTGATTAGCTGGAAAGCTATTTTATAAACAATAGTGGCACTATCTACAATTGAAGTTGAGTACATAACAATTACTGAAACTTAAAAGAAAGCTCTATGGTTGAAAAGTCTAGTTGAAGAGCAAAGCAAAAGTTTGAAGATAATCACACTGATGTGTGAGTCAGAGCATTATTTATCTCAATAAAAATCAAATGATTCATGAAGTACTAAGCACATTAATGTTTGTAATCACTTCATTTGTAAAGTTATTGCTTGTGATGAAATTTTTGTGAGCAAGATTAATACTCATGATAATCTTGCAGATATGATGACTAAAGTATTTCCATTAGCCAAGTTTGGGCATTGCTTAGACTTGTTTAGTATTCATTTCTGATCATTAGAGCATTGCAGAAGAGGTGGAGAAATTTTATTATACATTCTTTGGCAGTACCACAAATTTTGTGGGTCCTGCTTATCATCTCATAAGAAAATTATGATAACATGAATTAAGGCTTTAGAAGGAACCTGTGAGCATACGAATTGAAGGTTTCAACAATTAGATCAAGCTTATAATTGCCTTCAGATTACAATTGTGTGTTATTACTTTATTGATTCTCTTTTCATTACTTTTTTAAGGGGTGTTGCTAAAACTATAAATACCCCCTACTTGTAATCTCATATTTGATATGGCGAATTGTGGTCTAAACATGGTTTTTCCCATCTTTGGTTTTCCACGTAAAGTCTGTGTGTTCTTTATTTATATATATAATGTCAAACTATTTTTCGAAATTCTCATCCCATCAGTTAGATATATATATGTATAAAAATTTAGTAGCATGTATGTAAATTTTTCAATTTTTAAAATAATCATTTTTTCTTTACAAATTGTCTCTATTTATGAATAATATGATAAATATTATATTTTTTTATTCTTAAATATCATTATTTTTGCATCCTTATACCGTTATGGGTTTATTATTCATTTCTTTCTTATTCAATTTATGTGATTAATATACACTTAAGAGGACAAAATATATTAGGCTATCCTGACCAATTTGATGAGAATCAATTTTTTTAAGATATTTATTCTCTCGATGATGCATAAATATCTTATGAATTATTTCATACCAACTATTCATTATTTTCGAATTTATCAATAAATAAAATTAAATAATTTCATATCATTTAAAATCGATAAAATTATTGGAGAAATTATTCCATACGGACACCGCATGCAGAGATGCATGCAATGTCCGATCTCCACCGTCGATCACTGCAATCAAAATTTTTTTTTAAAAAAAAAAGGTTGAAAGTGGGGTCCACTGAAATATATCTTTGCGGTGATCGATGGTGGAGATCGGACACCACATGCATTACTGTGCATGATTTTTAAAATTTTTTCTATTAAAAAAATATTAGATATTTAATAAACTACTTAGATTTTTCTCCTCCATTTCGTTCCAATCCCTTTCGTATTTGATCATAAAATAAAAATCCTAAAAATCAACACTTTCCTAAGAGTAGATCGACAAAACACTATTTATTGAATTTATTAAGAACTAAGTAGCTCTGATACAATGCAATCAACTTATAAAATCTATAATTTTATTTATGTTTTTAGGTTAAACTACGTATCGAAAACAAAATTCCCAAACTATTGTCATTGATTGAACATTATTTAGTATTAATGCATTCAGTCATTCAATAGAGTATTTAATACACATCATCTAATATTGAGGCTCATAAATCTTCTTCGTCTCAAGCATTATCTTCTTCTCTAGCATAAAGTCGAGTCCATGCTCCAGCAAGTAATTCGTATAAGGCTCTATCATTCTCATACATTCGAGCAATCTCTGGCACTAGCGGGTGGTATAAATTTGGTTCCATCAAAAATGCACGAATTGATGGTATAATCATTGATATAGTGTGAGAAGAAGTCCAATAACTCCGGACAATGTTAGGGAAGATGAAACCTTCTCGGCTAATGTTGGGATGAAAAACTTTGGTTTTGAAGTGGACCTCTGGAGGTTCAAAAGGGTAATTCGATGGGAAGTCAATAAAAATGCGAAACACTCCTCCAGCAAAAGGTGTCCTAAGAGGTCCCGTAAAAGTTACTTCCCAATGAAAAAAGTCATCACTTACTCCACGAATGATAAATGCTGTTGGAGGTTCCCTCATCAATTCATTCAACTCAGATTGAATCTTCCTCAATGCCATTGACAAAAACCTTCAACCTCAAGCACCACTATAGTCACAAAATATGATTAGATTATCCCCCCTTAAATTAGCTCGTTGCTAGAGGTTTCTTACTATATGATATTCCTTGCTCACTCCTACTTTTTATTTTTACTTGATTTATCCTACTCCTAATACAATCATGCATATATAAAGGCAAGAGGAAAAAAAAAGAAATAAGTAAAATACATTGATGAAAAATTTCCTTAATGATAAGAGTATTAAAAAAAAAGCATATATGTTTTATAATAAACATAACATACCAAATATCTTCTTTTTGTTTTATTTAAAAAATATACGAGTACGTTTTTTTGGAAAAATATACCCCCAATGAGGGATAACCTCTTATATTCATGAACTGCTCATTTGCCACATTAATTATTCAATGAATCAATATTTTGTTTCAAGTTATGCAATTTTACTTTATCTCCTACAATTGGCTCAAATTTGAACTTAGCTTGAGTTCAAAACAATGGGAATAGACCTTAAAAATGATGAAAACATTAAGAGTAAAGATTGGTTGATCGACATTTACATTTGAAAGAGAAATTTAGTTCTGTATGAGAGAGTTTGGGGTTCGTGTTTATGAAATGACAGTAATGTGTGAAGAAAAAGAAGCGTTTATAACAAGGCTAGAGTCATGCGTGGAAAGTCCAACAACATCATGGAAATAAAAGAAGTAGCTCATGATGGCAATACTGGGGACAAGCATAGGACATTTGATGGCCGCATGCCAAGGATAAGGGGACCTTGTGATAGGCAATGGACAAACTAGATTAAGCCTAGGGTGGATTATTGACCACAATCGAATTTGAAATTTCTCTATAAAGATTAAAATTTTTTAATATTTTTTTTCTAATTTAGACTATTTAGTAATTTTGCCCCCGCTCAATAAACTTCCTTTTCCAGTACCTAACCAAATGTTAACATATGATAATTGTGCCTACCTATATTATTGAAGCTGATTTTGCCCCTGATGTAATGGTCCAATGTGGTGGCATATACAAGAGAAGAGGGAGTGCTAGGGTCAAGCACCATATGATCATTGATAACGTGTGAAGGAGAAAAAATAATCAAATCAGGATTTTGAATCAAATTTTTTATTAAAGTTAGTACAAAGTTTCAATCAAAGGTTCAAATTATTTTCAAACCAAGTTTGAAAAAGTACTTGAATAAATGTTGAAGTTAAGTTTAAATGACTTGCGAGTTTAGCGAGTAAGTTCTATCCTTAGTTGGGGTAGTTTTGTCCAAAAGAATTTAAAGGCTAGTTTTCTTAATATTATATATATATATATA